GGAATGCTTGTACAAAACTACACCCCTGAAGGCAAACTAGCAGCCAAGGGCAATATCTGCAGGAGAAAACAGAGAAACACCATGGGACCAGCCTGGCTCTGCTCACAGCCGGAGGAAAATCTGCAGAGAATAAACATCACAGCTCGGAGCCAAGGTGCAGCCTTGCAGTCAAGGAGAAGTGCTCCGAGCAGCAAACACCAAGTGAGCAGGAGATCCCAGCCTCAGCCCAACATCCTGTTATTTGGTCTTGGAGAGCAATTGGAGGGTAAGATCAGGGCTGTGGTCCAGATCAGGGCTGTGGTCCTCCCTGTGCAGCGCTGGGGAGGAGCAGGAGCTTGGCTGCTCTGCTGACAGCACCTCAGGGCACAGTGCAGTTCCCCTAATTCCTCACTCAGATCTCTCCCTTCCTAACTAAGGCTTGGAAGACAGCCATCCTTTCATGTATATCCCAGGTATTTTTCCTCCATGTAGTGCAATTTGCTTTGATCCCGGCATGCAGCAGTCAGCCTCAGGGTTGGTTATGGCTGTGCCATCCCAGCGTGTATCCGTACCAGCTGCTTGTGGCATGTGGGTCCCCAGCAGGTCCCCAGGCCCTGTCCTGTGCCCAGCAGGTCACAGAGATACTGGTCCCAGCTGTCCTCAGTCCTCAGCAGGAGCTTCTCAGGGAGATGAGACCCATGCAAGGAGATGCCAAACTGGAGGAGAGACCGTGCAGAAGCTGCTCCTTGTCTGTCCCCACCACCTGCAATCCAGCCCAGTGGGGGACACCAGGTCCACACCACGGGGTCCCTCCTTTCATGCAAACGAGCCCAATGGGTCCCACAGCAGGGTGCTTGCCGCCTCCTCAGCACCCACCCTCCTCCTCCAGTGCTTGCTCCTGCTCTCACCCTTCAGCCAGAGGCTCAGAAGCATGGGGGGCTGCAGGGTGCCTTGGCCACACTGGAGGCACCCAGCCCCACTGTTCCCAGTCCCCCCACGTCACATCCTGACTCCCAAAGTCCCCTACAGAGCAGGAAGAGCCACCCTCTGCACAGCCACAGCAATGGGGCCTCAGAGCAACCCCAGGTCGTGTTCTCCTTTCTGACACGTATACTGACAAAACAGGGAAGTCCTCACCTCACGGTCACTGGTTTTGCACAGGATCAGCTGCCCCAGGACAGAGAAAACCCCCTCACTCAGCAGGACCCCAGCTGGGAGGGGGCATGGGAAGGGCAACATGCTCCACTCCAGCACCCTGCTCTGCCTGGATAGCCCAAACCTGCTCGTTTGAGTCCCTTCTTGCACAGTCCCACTTCCCCTGCAGTGGGGGGTGCCTGCTCAGCTCCACATGCTCAGCTTGTGTAAGTTTTGGGGCTCTCAGGTCTGGGCACATTGTTTCCAAACCCAGGCAGGCTGCTGCGGATGGGGTCACCATCAGCACTGTTTCCCCCACGGGCAGCCGGAGCGCCGCCGAGGGATGCAGTCCACGTGCCTGAGCTGGTTTTGCTGAGAACATTACTTCAGTGAGGAACTGTAAAACCTGAATTGTCACAAGCTTCATGCTGGGATAGTGCTTTTCTGCAGGGAGGAAGGTCATTTTACAGAAGGGGGACTGGAGTCAATGCCCCATTAAAGACCTGGAGGAAACTGTGCAGCAGGGGCTGGAGACGGAGCTGACAAGATTC